AAAGAGCTATTTCACAGGGGGTTTGGGTTTGGGTACTTCTTGTTTGTTTGTTTTGCTTCTTATAAGGCATACAAGTTGAATTCTGTATTTTTCAAATCATAATTATATCTGTTCAGTCCAACTGGAACACAGGAAAGGCAAGCAGACCTTTTCAGTGTCTCATGTAATGCAGAAGAACAACTCTTGTTACACGACCTTTGCTCTAGGACAGATTACTCGCCATCATTACTTTAGTCACATATAGAGAAAACCACCTGCCTTTTTGAACTGTATGTTCCTGTCGAGTACAGTCTGGCCCAAAATACTTCGGCTTATGAATAAATAGCCTATTTCTACAGCAAACAGAGTGTAAACCTCCCCGAGAGTATCTTCAAGACAAATAAATTGTAATCACTTAGTTATTTATTGTTTATGTTGAATAATATAAGTCATCGCAGCATGATGCCTAATGACATCAAGAAACCATGACTCAGACACTCACTGCTTGCAATAGCTTGTGGAGGAGGCTCCTCTTTCTCTCTTGTAGAATTAGGGTCACCTTCGGGCTCTAAGGCACCTCAGATGACTTTGGACAGATCGCAGGAACTTGTACCTTGCAACTCAGCTATGCTAAATGAGAGATGAGAAAGCCTTACTCCTTCATGCCTTCTATATAATTTAAGTTACATAGCTTTGGTGTGGAGTTTTCCTCTTCCTGTATTTATCATCCAATATTTGGTACAAACACCTCCAATTTCAGCGGAACCATATGAGCATAATAGTAAAAGATTAATTTAAATTATTTGACTAAAAACTCAGCTAGATGTAAATTAATGGATTTTGTGGCTTCTCCAGTTTAAACAGCTTCTCATTTTCCAATTTTCTGTCATCTCAGTGAACATCTTGGTCTACTGGTGATCACCTTACAGATTCAATGGAGGAAATTGAAACCAAGCTCTTCAGCAGTGACAAAGAGGAAGCTTTCAAAAGAGAACTGCCATATTGTATAGGAGAAATAGACTTCACAGCTTCTGGGAAGAAACGTGGAAAGGTACAGCACTGAAGAGTGGCCTTTAACACCACTGCTGTTGTTCAGCTGTCACTTCTTAGCATTAAATGTAGAGACTGTAATAGTGAGGGTCAGTGTGATACATTGTATTCAAAGTAGGGACCATACCTTCCCAAATGTGAATGTGATTTAAAATAAGGCCTATTAATATAGAGAAATCAATCACTTGACCTGCACTTACATGCAGCAAGTACACTTGTTCACCTTTTCTTTTTTTTAAAAAAAAACAACCAACCAGTCGTGTGTAGCTTCCTTCATTTTTTATCATTTCCCTGGTTTAACCTCTTTCTGCCAAAAATTAATCTCTATGGATTTCAACATTTTAAACATACTTTTGAGCCTTTTAAAGGCTCTTAAAGTTCTCTCTGTTTGTTCTGCTAATATGCAGGGAAGGCTGTACATGGACAGATCCACTAGTCCCTTGCATACATCAGTGCTAGAGCATAAAAAGTTCCTAGGAGCAGAAATCTGCCTTAAGGTTTTGTTTTGTCACAAAGTCTAAAACACAAAGCCAAAATATATACAGAACAGGAAGAAGTGATAGATTAATGTAACATGTTCTTGAAAAACAGACATGAAGTAAATATTTCAGCTAGTGCAGAAACAAGAAATGCCTGAGAAATTTAATAGAATCATAGAATTTGTTGGGTTGGAAGTGACCTTCAATGGTCATCCAGTCCAACCCTCCTGTAGAGGGGAAGGACATCTTTAACTAGATCAGGTTGCTCAGAGCCCCATCAAGTCTGACCTTGAATTTGCTGGCTTTCCTAGACTGCCATGGAACTGAAGGCAGTTCAAGAGGAATGGCAGCATTAAAGGAAAGAATATGTCAGTCTGCAACACAAAATTAACCCATGGAACTGACCCATTTAGTGAGGTGACAATAATACACATACCTGCTAAATTCATCCTGGTATTTAGTTCTCTGTCAGGTCTTGCTCAAATAATTTTTTTCTTGAATAACCAAGTTGATTATCGTTTTCCCTCTGCATTCACCACGAACAATATCTCTACTCTATGCTATTGTCCCATTTTTATTCAGTGGGGTTTTTTTGTTTTGTGTGTTGAAGTTTATTAAGGTCCCGAGCACCATTCATCCTGGAATCATATTTGAAGTTATGCTCAACAAATGGAAGCTACCTGCTCCCAATTTGGTTGTATCTTTAGTAGGGGAAGAAGAAAATTTCCAGATGAAGCCTTGGCTACGGGACACCTTAAAAAAAGGACTTATAAAGGCAGCTCAAAGCACAGGTTAGTACTTTAGGCTTTAAACAAGGGATTTATATTCCTACTGGATTCTCACACCTAGAATCCAATGATCTTTTGACATCAATGGGCCTGCTCACATGACTGTTTTTGAAGTTCAAGTCTTTGCCGAATGCAACCCACAACCTGCATTGAAATAGCTTTGAAAACAAAAGTTACTGTATTAGAAATAGCAAAAACAAGTTATTTCAAAACAAGTTACACCAGGCAACCATTCCTGAAGTGTAAAATTACCTGATATTATTCTCTCAGAAATGACACCAGAAAGATAGCATAAGATGGTCCCAAATACATTGTCCCTCTTTGGTGCCATAGCAAAATAATTCTTAAGAGAGCATAGCAATTTCATTTCTACAAGAGTGAATTTAGGTCAAAAATAAGAATTCTTGTTTTCTGCATTCTCTCTTTTTAGCTACCAGTCAAAATCATTTTACAATAATTTGGGGGTTTATTGAAGATTATTTTCTTCAAATCTAAGAGTTGAACATGAGGAAAAAGTTTTTTACTGTGAGGGTGCCAGAGCACTGAACAGGCTGCCCAGAGAGGTTGTGGAGTCTCCTTCTCTGGACACATTCAAGGCCAACCTGGCCGTGTTCCTGTGTGACCTGGTCTGGTGATCCTGCTCTGGCAGGGGTTGGACTGGATGAGCTTTCGAGGTCCCTTCCAACTCCTGAGATTCTGTGATTCTGTGATTCTGTGAACAGACTTTGTTAGTGGAACAGCCTATGATTAGACTCAAGTTTAAACAAAAAGACCTTGGTAATGTATAACACAAAGTAAGTCAGCTCGCTTCCTCCCTGGCTGTTCACATAAATGATAAGAGTAGTGAAAAGCATTTAAAAATAAAAGTAAACAAATCAGTGTCTGGGACCATGCATGCAAGTGCCTTTCATTTAAGATGACATTGTTTTCCTTGTAGTTTTATGAAAATATCTACAAAACAAAGTGAAAATATCTGTAAGCGTTTCACAGTGAGCTCTTGGTTTAGCTTCACTGGTCCAGACAAGACTGTAACAGTTTTGCTTTTTGTAATGAAACAGCCAAATACTGAAGCTCTTTTTGGTACTTTGTACCACACATAGATAGATACTTCTCTACCTCCAGATACTTACTCTCCAACACACACAAGAACAAGAAAAAGGAAAAAACTGATTAAGGAGGTTATGTCCAAGCTCTTCTGCTACCAGAAGAGTCCCTGTTCAGTCCCTGTTCAAACCAATGATTTCCTCCACTCTGTGCCTTTGTTCTTCCTCATGTAACAATCAGATCTGCTGGGTACAGTGATGTTTCTGCTTATATTTAGACAGTAAGTGACTCTAGACTGGAGATACCACTCTTGGTGGACATATTGGCATCAGAGTAAGGACAGCGCCATTGCATCACATGATACATGAAGCACGTTTGCTTATGCATATATATAATTTCTTCTTGTTTTCCTTATTAATGTCTTACGTACTTTGTATATATTTTAATTCTAAAAGTTACAGTCCATCAAGACCCGTTCACAGTTTATCTATCTAAAGAAAACTTAAATCCAGTGCTGAAAGGAACGTTACTTGACACACAAACATATTCAATTATAAAGAAATTATCTACCTGTTTTTAAAAAATAATTTCAGGTGCCTGGATTTTTACCAGTGCTTTACGTGTGGGAATAACGAGACACTTGGTGCAAGCAGTCCGAGATCATGCACTGGCTAGTACTTCATCCAAAGTAAGAGTGATTGCCATAGGAATAACTTCCCTCAGAAAAATTCAGCACAGAGAAATTCTGGACAACACAAAGGTATTTTTTGCTTATTTTACTCGTGAATAAATGTTCAGAAGTAAGCTGCACCTTTGCAAACCTTGGATGCGGTAGGCAGAACAACGACTATCTAACTTAAAAACAAAAGTGGGGTTTAAAGTGTGTTTTGGGGGAAGAAAGAAAGAAAGAGCAGAAAGAACAGTTAGACCCTCGTGATGCTGTGCCCTGCACGCTCGGTGTACGTGACAGCGATTCTACAAATGTCCAGCAGGTGGCAGCATTAGACGTTAGCTCGGTGACCAGAGTAAGGATGAACGTCGGGGAAAAAATCTGGCATAAGGTAACTTAAATGGTTTTTTTCTTTTGTCCTTTTACTGCAGAAGCACTTCAAGCTATTACACACGTAGTACAAAAAGTACATTTTCTAGTATGAAACACAAGGCATAAACATTTAATGCTAGCCATGCAGGATTTCATCTAGTTACTGGGAGCTCTAGGGACCTCACTATTCAGATCAAAGCAATCCAAGTTCTTTGAGCAGGATGGGGGACACAAACCAAAAGAAGCCCACAAGTAGAAAAGCTCACCCAACAAAACAGTCAAGACAAGTTGATGCTGAACTGACCTGGAGGTGGAGAAAAGAAAATTCTGACATGAACTTCTTGTCACTGGATATACAGTCTGTCCTAAGCAGAATTTTATCACAATGAAGTAGGCGTGTCATGACAACGAATGACTGCTCTTCTATGCTATTTTACTTTCCAGCAGAAGCTATGAAACAAATGACAAACACGGCCCTCTGAACCTGCACCTAGGTCTTGTCTGAGATAGGCTAGCGAGTACCAGTCAGCAGCTGGGAGACTGCCGCACCCCATCAGCAATTCACTGTCATTGGGCTTCCCCTTTTTCCATCCTTTTTGTCAAAGACAGCTACTTGTATGCTCTACTAGGTGGGACTCTGTAGATGAAAGACTTTAAAACTTACTTGTTTGGCTCAACTGGTCCGAAAGGACCTCAGAGGAAAGAATTTGGTTCATTGTGTTTATGAATTTTGTTCAGGAAAGTTGCTTTGGCAAGTGCAAACTAGTTGCTTTGCCTCCCTCCCAGGATAAATGATCAAAATGCATTTGGCTCTTTCCCAACCAGCAATTACAGAACAAGTGCATTGGTCTTTTTATTGCATTAGATTTTCCTGCTTAAGTAAAGCCTGAGTTCTTTGTCAAGGAATATTTCGTGTAGACCATTCCTGACTCTATGACTTCTGGCACTGCTTCCACCCAAAGACATTCTGGATTTTAGTCAGTAACTTTAAGACAAAGGGACTATAGACAGGGATGTCGATCTAAACCCAGTTCTCTTTATACTTGGCACTAACACAAGTAGCTTGTTGTATAAAATAGAGCTAACAATCCACACTAGCAAGGAGAGAAACAAGGCCTGAATTCAGTGGATCCCTCCCATCTCTTCTGCGTTAATGGTATGCTTTAAACATCATTGAAAGATCACTTCCACATTTTCAGAGAATAAATAGGAAAATCCCAAAGGGTCTTTTTCAAATGGTTGTTGTGCCTCCGGGTCCTAATCAGAAACCAGATCCTTGGTGAGTAAGCTTCACATTAAATGGCAGCAGAACATAGGCACATCCTCTGTCAAAACAAATTTGAATGCAAATTAATTGTGTCAAGAAGCTTTCCCCAACAAATGAGAGACAGAGAGAAGTAAAAGAAAATTGTGGCACTTGCTGTATGTAAAGGACATACTAATTTACTGCTTTTTCCCCCTGAACAGCTCTCAGTGTTCCTATGCTTCCCGGAGCTGCTGACAGGGAAAGACCTGTCTGATTATAGCCTTTTTCATCTTGCTCTGAAGGAGATTTTTCCAGTTTTACTGTATGCAGTCTAATTTCAGAAGGCCGCTTAGGAGCACGCTATGTAGTGTGCTCAACTCTTCTACGTGCAGCACGAAGCAACTTGTCCTCTGGGTTACTTAATATATTTATGCATTAGTAGTGCTGCTATGAGACCCTGTTGATAAGTTCACTGCCTCTCCAACATCAACCTTAGCCTTGGCTGTGGAGAAGAGCCTGGACAACCCCTGGGTTGGACTTCCCCCAGGATTGACCTGGGCACCCGCTCTTAAAAGCTGGGGTGAAGAAAGGCTCCACATAAGATCTGACTCTTAACAACCAGAACATAAATTTCTGCCATACCTTAATGACAGCTACGTTACTTGCATAGTTACACAGCTATGTCTGGAAATGCTTTAACACCTGATTGTGTCCACGAAATTAGTTGGAGGAGTAATGCACAATAGCCAAGCTGACAGTTGGAGTTCTGTTCATCGACTCAAAGGCTGCAGAAGTTGGAAAAGAGGCATGAAAAAAAGCAATGTATATTTTAAACAATTGCTTTAATCTGGCTTACTTGCAACAGGGCAGTGATTATGAAGATGAAAAAGAAGAATAACCAGGCATTTACAGGCTGGCTTGCAGCTAGGAATGATGTATCAAAGTGGACGTGCAACAGTGGGAAAGAAAGATTTATTAAAGAAGGGGAGCTTGAAAATGTGTATGGAAGACTAGATGTAGTGCAATCCTTAGAACAAATAACTGTAACAGTGGTTCTGTTTTACCCAGACAGTGATTTTATGTAAAATAACAATAATAAATTATTTCAAGATATAACACCCTTAACCCAAAATAAAAGATAAGAAGATTGCCCTTTCTAAAGTCTGTCAGTCATTTTTTTAGAATGCAGTTTCCAATCCGAGAATAGTCATTAGACAGTATATAACCCTGCCTATTAAATAAAGCTGCATTTAAATTGACACAGACATACAGCAGCCTAACTTATCTGCTGGGCTAAACACGGACAAAAAGCTACTGAAATGAATAGGTTTGCCTCCATTTTTACCAGCTAAACCTTTAGCCTTCCAAGACACTACAGCTCCATCCACAATTATCAGGTCTCATGGTGCCTTTCCATTTGTCCAGCAAGCATTTCCAAAACCTCTGAATAAATGCCTAGGTTCCAGAGATGACGACTGAGATCACTGTATTTTGCAGAGCCCAAGAGGGAAACTTAGCGGGACTTCAGCTTTCAGTCCTGTCAAAACTGGCACCTTTCAGAACCAACGCATTCTCCTTCTCCATCCTCCAAAGAGTCTGTTCAATTGTCTCAAAGGTGGTGTGCTGTGTCATGACACAGACAACACAAAAATGGAGATGAAGCGCATAAAAACACAGACTGTACTTTGTAGAGAACACTAACTTCTCTCCTCTTCTCTCCAGAATGAAAGTCTTGTACATTACCAATCAGATGATAATATCCAAGGCCCACTGTATTCCCTGGACCATAACCATTCCCATTTTATTTTGGTGGATCACATAACACCAGATGAGCCAGATGGAACCACTAAGCTACGTCTCACCTTGGAAAAGCATATATCAGAACAGCGTACTGGATATGGTGGTAAGTAGACTCCGTACAGGCTTGCTAACTTGAATAATACTGGTATTAGTGAAACTTGTGGGGCCCTGGCCTTATCAAAGGCAAGCCCAGTTCTCCAATTGGACAAACATCTACATAGGCAAGATCAAGTAAACACATTTGTCATTATGTAAGAGGCAGAACTAAAGTGACTTCTGAAGTTGAGAAAGCTTCTCTTTGAACCAAAAATACTGACTTCTATCAAATCTCTTTAAACATAGCTCAAAGCTGATCTTCAAAGCATAGCTCAAACTGCCTTAAAACACAATGAATGAAAAATAAATCCTGCTTTAAATGCCTTAACCAGCAGCTCCGAGATGGATGTTCACTGTTGTATACTTGCATCCCCTCTTGCATTGCTTGTTCTTGAATTGCTCCCACATTGGAAGAAACGACTTGTTCCACAGCCCTTTGAAATACTTTAAGCCATATTTATTTCAGAATAAAATCTTATCCTGGGTAAACAACACGGCTTCTAATGGTCATCTAAATCTATGTGACCTTTGTTTATAATGAGAACTGAGTATTGGGCAGGCCTCCTACTGCTATTTGTGGAAAGAATCCAGTTGTACTGCTAATACGATTACTTTTACCTTTCCTTTGTTACTGTATTACCTACAGTGCTAACACAGCTGAAACAGAAGGGAGAGCTCACTTATTCACACTTGTATACGTCAGTGGAATATTTAATTGCATAGGCCAAAGTATGGCTGCACAGATGTACCCGAGGGCATAAAAGCACCTGAAGAATGTTTATCTGCTGGCTCAGATAGGAAAGACCACGGTTGGACTGTAATGGCAGGCTGAGTGCTGAGAGTTAGAAAGTAACGTCTTTCTGCTTGCAAATCAAATCTGCTTAAACAAATCCCAATGGAACCACTTTCTATCAAAAAATGCTGATTCATTTGACAAATATTTCACTGGAACATACTGAATTTAGTGATATCTTCTATAAACAAAACCAGTGTTGTTCATTTAAGTTCCTTTACATTCAAGCTGAACAAAGCTATGTGAATTTACTGAAGTAAAACACTTTAATAAGGTCATGTAGAATTTCCCTATTTAAATATAATACCCAGAAGTCATTCAGAGGAAATTTTTAATGTGCTGAAAAATCTTTGCAATTAAGGACTTCCCACTGTCCCAGTCTAAAGTCAGATTCCCTGCCAAGGCCTCTCCTCTGGCTAAATTTTATCTAAATCTATGATAAATGAAGCACATTTGAAGCCATAAACGTGTCTTGAGGAACCTGTAGTTACAGAAGTAACATTTCAAGCTAGAACTTCATGTTATAGAGGTATGGCAATGCCATGCCATTCACTAAAACAAATGAAGTTACTTTCCAATCATGCCCTGGCTACAGCTCAGTTCTGCCCTTTCTCTGTAGTCATCCCACAGCAGATCCAAGAAGTAGTAAGTGGTGATTTGTACATGGCTCTGGGAGACCTACAAAGGGAAACATCAAAAAATTGTTTGACCCAAATGCCTTTGATCTTCCAACAGAAAGAGCCATGCACCTCATTATGCTACTGTTCTGATGGAGCTCTTTTAGGCCACCTTTGGATTACAGAGTTCAGCATCTACTGTATAAACCAGAAATAAATGGGTCCCTGTGGGAGGATGCCTAAGGACAGGGAAGCCTACATTGTTTCTTCCTCTGCTGCCGTGACATAAGTATTTAATATGTATGTTAAATGTGTAATATTATGTTACTAATAATCACTGCATTAGACTCTGCTGAATGACACTTTAAGCTGAGTAATAAAGAGTACATGGTTCCTGTCAACTCATATCTGACTCTTCTCACCCTATCTGGTCTACATAGTCAGCCTCTTCAAGTTCTTAAATTTTCCTTTTATCAAGCTTTTCTCCAGGATATCCTTCCTGCACATGCTAGGTACGTGTAACACCTGGGACAAACAGACAGCTTTTCACTTCTAACTGTATCTCAATATAAATAATGGTAGCTGCCCCTCTGAAAACCTAACAATCTTGCCTTGCACCATAACACAGCTCCATTACTCCAATATCTGACCACCTTGCAGTAAATAAATAACTTAAAGTCAACAGTGCTATGACATACAGAAGTGCCAGTATCCATCTTTGGCAGCTGAGGTGAACTGAGGTGAGGAGAGATGGAACTGCTTGCTAGGGATCACACAGGACATGAGAGGCAAAGATGCCTTCATCCTGAATTTTAGACTAGGCCCCATCTGCTAGGGCACACAGTTACTCTCTTCCTTTGCCACTTGCTTCTGCTATTGCCTGTGTTCTGCAGGCTCATGTTCTGGTAGGGACCAAAACAGCTCATAACAGGAGAAGTATTTTTAAGGGGTCAGCAGAAACACAATTGTTTTGTGAAAGCTGTTAAATCTTTAAAAATTAAACCATTTATTTCACAGGAACGGGTAGCATTGAGATCCCTGTACTTTGCTTACTGGTAAATGGAGGACCAGGCACACTTGAGGTAAGAAGCTGTTTGCAACTTTAGAAAAATAAATTAACTGATGCTAAGTAATTAATATAAAATTTGGCTGGATGACAAGCACATGTATTGGGCGTTACATGAATTCAAAATTCATATCTATACACCATTAAGAACTGAATTCTGTTAATATTAAATTTGCCAGTATTTGTTTGGGAGAAATATTTCCTTTTGAATAGGTGCCAGCTGATCATTAAATCCTCCACTGCCAGTCCGTACAGTGGGAAGAAGGAAGCCAAAACAAAAACAAGCCCAGAGAAGCCAGCTCCAAATCTAGTGAAATAGAAATACTGCGCTATTACTTGAGATCACATACAAAAAAAAAGAGGTTAATCATTCAGTGCTCTCCAGCAACAGTGAGACAACTGCCTCTGTCACAGGGCTTAGAAGTACAAGACCAGGTTTGCTAGATACACCATTTAAAACTATAATGTCCCAGTTCCACTGGCCAAAAATACATTGTATGACAGAAGACTGGAGAGTTGTCTGCTAACAATCCCTGTCTTCTTCAGCAGAGGGTCAGTTTTGATCTTTTCTAAGTAGTTTAACAACTCAAGGAACCAGTCAGCTAGGAGATACTCTTCAATTTCTATTCTGCTTTTACTGGCATTTTATTTTGCTACTTTGTGGCTTTTTTTTAATAATACTCTCAGATTAGAAGGAATACCCTACAGTACCTTTAGGGAGACATTTAACCACAATTTAAAGTTTCCAAGTGATAAGACTCTGCCACACAAGCTGGTAGCCTCTTCCAGAATACGGACTCACTTCTGGTGATGTTTTCTAGTTTTGGTTTCCAGCCACTGTATCTTGTCATATCTTTGTCAGCTGGACTAAAATACACACTGGTATTAGAAATCTCACTGTTTAAACTAGGATTATATCACGTCTTGAGCTTTCCTTCTAGAAGCTAAATATAACAGCGTTTTCTTTATCTCAAGTGTTGAAAAATCAAATATCACAACCCATAAAACCTGTTTTCAAAGTCTGAGAGAACAAAGTGACTTGGAAAGCAAAGGTGACTGTCTGGAGTTGTCCTGAATTTTCATATGTGCTAGGAATGGATAACCGCTTGCACTTTTTTAGAATATCCGTTTCTTAAATACAAATTGGATAATATACACCAAGGATAAAAAAAAAACAAAACCAAATTAAACTTGAAAAAACCCCAATGAAACAAGTAAATCAATAGTGAGATGCTTAGAGTCTCAGAAACTTCTTGCATAACTTCAAGTTAAGAAATAGATTGGCAGCAAATAGTCATTATTGCAATTATGATGCCATGGCCTCAGGTCTCCTCTCCCATGAGTCCCCACCTGCCTGACTCATTCCAGTTGCACAAGTGATAGAATTATCAGCCTTTAAATCTTGTGGTTGCTATGCTTCAGTGTTGGTTTTTTTTTCCTGTGGCCCCAATGTTGTATTCACACAGGCAAATGCCTAATTTTCAGACATATCACCAGGTTTATCAGCCAGAAGAGCCTGCTGAGAATTTAGCGCTCCTCTTGCACTTGACTATGCTGAAACACAAACTGCAGGGGAGAAGAAAAAAAAAGTCAGGGATAAAGAAGTTTTATGCATTGTTTGTCCAAATCAGGTTGCTTAGCTACTCAGCAGATGTGTCATGAAAAGAAGTATAGTTAGGGGCCTGTACATGGGCAACCTGCTACAGAATCAGAAAAATCCTAACAGCTTAGAGGACTCTGGACTGACTCCATAGTGAATCTGGTTTAGGTACACATTTATTCCTAGTTTACAAGAAATCTTTCTTTTGTATAACATTTTCTTTTCATATATGAATTCTAAAAATGTACTTTTTAAACTACAGAGAATTTGCAGCGGTTTGGAAAATTCTGCTCCCTGGCTTATCTTAGCAGGGTCTGGAGGTACAGCTGACATCTTAGCTGCATTCATGAATGACCCTCAGTTTATCATGCCAGAAGCTGTTGAAAAACAATTTAAGGAGAAATTCCCTGCAGAAAGCTTCTTGTGGAAGGACATTCTCCAATGGACAGCAACGGTGAGCTCATATATTTGATAATTACATGCATCTCATTCACAAGCTCTCTCCTGCCATTTCTAGCTTTGGTAATCCATTCAGTACAGGCTTGACAAGAAGCTGCCCAGAGGTTTTGGGTACTCCAGTGTTCTAACACCAGTGTCATAGAATATAACATGAAAATCACATGCTCAGTGAGCATACAAACTACTCTGTCCTAGTGATTCAGCTGAACGCTTCAGGCTCTATCCTTCAGCAATTATTTCCTCAAGTGACAGCCATCACGTAGGAACTCCCCGGTCCTTCTGGAGGACCTGAAGCACTATTTATATTCCACAACTGTGGAGCTTGTGCAGCTGTGACAGAAGAGACATAATTCATGATCTACAGCTGTTAAATGGAAAACTAATTGTGGATAAGCATGAATACATTAAACAGAAAAGGTGTTTAGAAATTATCTTTTCTATTGTCAGTTATGTGTGTCCTTAAAAAGAAAAAAAGACAAAACAGATTTGCAGATATCCTTACTCTTTGTCTTGAGGCACACCTGCTGGACTTAAAGCACTACACATGAGCGTTTAAGAAACAAAAAACCACTTTGACACTGTCTTTATGTGAAGACTGAAGAACACTGTGTGCCTCTGAGACACACCAAGTCCACTTGGCCTGACCCACTACTTATTCTTTGCAGTCCCTGTTATAATCCCTTAGTTTTAAAAGTTCCACATAATAATTCCATTAAGGAGAACTTTGGTAGATCACTAACACAAGGGGATGGAAGGGCATCTAGAAGCAATATTGCCAGATGCTCACAAAGTCTCAGCGCAGCTGCACTGTGAGAAAGAAAACTCAATAGAGAAGCAGAAGGAAAGAGTACTGTATATATCAATATTTGATGACTTTTACTCAAAGATGATTTAGAGACTATGCTTTTAAATAAACAATTCTGAGAGCAAAACTTAAATGTCAAAGCAGGAAAAGGTAAAATAAAAGTAGTAGTATGCTGGCCACAGCATGACTATGAGTCAAATAAGAGTGTGAGATAAAGATATTTTAATTAAAGCACTGCTCTGGTTCTCAGGAAATGCAGGTTCTGTTCCTCCTACCCTGCTAGGTGATTTTGGAAAAGGCAGCAAATCCCTTCTTGCCTTGAGACTTATTTATATATGGGACACTAATAGTGTTTTTCTTCTTGCCAAACTTTAGCTTTACAATTAGAACAGAAGTTATTGGGAAATACTGTAAGAGTGATCTCCACTGGGCTCCTAGGCATTAATATATAACAGTAGAACAACACATAAAATTATTTTTATTTCAACTCCCAATAGATTCAGAACATTATTTCACACGAACATCTTCTAACTCTGCACAACTTTGAGCAAGATGGTTCAGAAGAACTAGACACAGTAATTTTAAAAGCTTTAGTAAAAGGTAAGACCAATAAACACAGCATGGTGTAATACTTGCCTTGTTTGACTACTTCTATGCCATAAATGTATTTCATTCTTGTTCAAAGCAAGTTCAGTTTGCTGTTGGATCAGATTTAACTTCTGATGGAAAGTTCTTGCGCTTGCTTTTTGACAAATTAACTGTGGCTCTTGTAACCTTGCTGTAAACTAGTGTTTGCTTTTTAATCTCATGCTATTATACAGTATTATTTTTATTGCTCCTTTATTTCAGCACTTGCTTCTCTTAGTTGTAGACATTCTAGAAGTACTGAAATATGCTGGAGCAGTTATTCCAGTTACAAGCCAATAAAAAAAACCAAACACCAAAAACCAAACCAAAAATCCTCCAAAAAAACCACACCAAAAAACCCAACAACTAAAAAAAAAACCCCACAAAAATGCACGTCGACCTGAATTGCCTTAGTTCCAGAAACAACCATTTCTCCTATGAGAAATCTTCACTATATCTTCTGAAAGAAGATATTACTTGTCCTGCCACCCATTTCAGTTTGTATTAACTTGATTGTTTATGTTATCCTAAATTTAGTATGGGAAAAAAAGCCATTCTATTCCTAATATGCTTACTGAAACAAGACAAAAGACAATAGCCAGTCCTGTTCCTCACCTTCTGCAGGCCAGCATTTCTCTTAAAATCCTACAGGCATTTAAACTTAATGTTTTAACAGAGAATTCTGCTAGCGAAAATTAGCGTTTTTTCAATACTTCTTAAGTTAGTAAAAAAAATGCTTTTAATTGTTCCTGGTTAAGCAACCCACAGATCTGTGACAGCTGAAGGAGAGCTTGTCTCACAAATCAAAATGCCAATACTATATTAAATTAAACACAACAACTGTAGAGTACTGAGTTTATTTGCATTTCCTATTTTTGCCAGCCTGTAAAAGTCACAGCCAGGAGGCTCAGGAATATCTCGATGAACTGAAGCTGGCAGTGGCCTGGAATAGAGTGGACATAGCTAAAAGTGAAATATTCAATGGTGATGTGGAGTGGAAGGTACCAGATTTTATTGCCTTAAAAGACAATTGGTATATGTGTGTACAGGACATAAACATCCCGAGAGAAGGTTTCAGGTTTTCACACATTCTCCTCTAAGAGATTGGGCAGTGGCAGTATGCTTGCTTATGCTGTTTGTCTTTCTGGTCCCCAATACGATAATGACTAAAGATAGAGGAATGATTCAGCGATCATGGTATCCTTCTTGGGCTCATTGGAGGAGAGAATCTTCTCCCCCAGCTTCTGTACAGACCTCTAAAGCAAACAAACCTGAGCTTACGTGCAAAGGAAGCATGCAGATATTACTGTTAAAAGATGGTAGGAAGAATGTCACTGTTTCCAACTGCTGTTTCCAATCCAGTGCGGTGGGGACCTAACATCATCACAACTCCTACAGCTTGCTATTTGTGTTGATGTTTTAACATTAACACTTACATAGACATTTTGTCAGAGAAATGAAGAGTTTCAGAGCAAACAATTGACAACAGTTAGTTTGAGAGCAATGAAAAGGGATTTCAAGGGCTTGGGACAACTGGTTAAGGGATCTGGAGCACAGATAGCGTTCTCCTCTATCCCACCAATTGCAGGGAGATCTGAGGCAATAAACAGAAAGAGCCAACAGATCAATGCCTGGCTCAGAGACTGGTGCCACAGGCAGGACTTTGGGTTTTTTAATCATGGATCAGTTTACACTTCACCAGCTTTGGTGACAAAAGATGGGGCATGTCAATCTCAAAAGGGGAATAGGTTCCTGAGACAAGAGTTAGCAGGGCTCACAGACAGGGCTTTAAACTAGATTTGAAAGGGGGAGGGGGGAAAGGGGTTAAACCACAACTCACTAGAGATGAGCCTGGGGGTGGAGCACTAACAGGTGTGGGACGGTGTGCTAGTGAGACTCTTCAGAGCACCGTCCCAGTGGAGGTAGGGGATGGAGTTCTATGCAGCAACCAAGGTGCAAGGGTCACTGATGGGTTAGTAACCATGGAAGTCCCTGAAAATGGCTTGGCAGAAATTAGGACTTCTCCCTGTGAAAAGGTGGCAGGGTCTTTAGTCCGACTGAAGTGTGTCTACACCAATGCATGCAGCATTGGGCAATAAGCAGGAGGAACTAGAATCTATTGTGCATCGGAATAACTACAATGCAGTAGCTATCACGGAAACATGGTGGAA